AATATGGGAGTTTAAAGCTCACTTTTCACACAGGCTTTAATTACTGTAGTGAACCCCTACATATGCAATACAGAAAAGGAAAAGGGGACTCTATAATCTGGACAAATAATAAAAGGATAAATAATGATCTTGGATAAATCGGCACATGAGAAACCAGCTGTTCTGCAAAAGAAAAGGCATAAAAAGACTGGTTGAAATTAAATTTTAAGCCTTATTTGTGGACACTGGTACATTTCAGACTTGTTCATGAGAAAGTCTATGGACAGCCTTACAACTAACTCCTCATTCCAGCATTTTGAGAAAAGGTCTGACTGTTTCAGGCCAGAGAACCTGGAAGTTACGTTTGCCTTTTAAAATATTTTGCTTCCTCTTGGCAATTTGTCAATCCAACTTTGAAGAGTCACATGCTAGACAACAGGAATAATACAAGGTGAAAAGTGACTTTCACAGCAGACATGTTGGGTTTAGCTCCTGGGTCAGTGTCAGCACAGAAACTCAAGGATTGTGGGAATGCTTGCTGGAACCGAATTATTTCAGTTCTGCTTCACTAGTATTGCAAAAGGCTACACCAAAGTCCTGAATTACTAAGTTTACGTACCTTTCCAGCTGTATGAAAAACCCACTAAAACCATTCTGTTTCAATTTTCCATATGAAAAGCCTGCCTTTGTACAATAAACAGGAACAACACTCAGTAATGAACACAGACTTAATCTGTCACAGCTTGTTCTAGTTTTAGTTTTGGAAGCTTCTCTGAATTACATATATACAAGTGTAAGATCAAGCCAAAATTCAACCAAAGGAATTTCGCAATTATGAACTAATAAGCAAATCAGTATTTCAAAGTATCACTAAACCTGCTATGGTCTAACCCAACTTAAAACATACTTCCTATAGCATATGGGGCATTATTTTTCCTGTGCTTCAGTTAGTTGCAAAACACTGGAAAACGACCTTCAGTATCATCAAGTTTTCGTATGGGCTTAGTTGTACAAAATCTTCAAGGAAACACAGAAGAGATGTCAAGCTTCTCTCTACCTGAGCTTTCATTACTCTAGTTAAATGCTGTGAAAATACTAGCAAGAGAGAGAGTACCAATGGATGAGACATATGGAAAAGATAAGGAAAGCATAGGGCCATAACTCTGCTAACTGGGTATTGGTCACTTAAGTCAGAGACAAAATGGCACCCAAAATGTTCAGAAGTAATTGTCAAACACTGAAAAACATTTTGGTTACAATGATGATTTACATGGCTTCCATTAATTTCTGGAAGTCTTTAACAGAGGAATAGTATTTGTGATACGTTCATATTCCCAAATAGTTTCAGTTACATTTAAGTCTTGACAGAGCTCTCACAGCTAAGACTCAGTAACAATGCAACATTTCATACAGTGGGAAGTAATTTAAAGCAACGGTATAATTTTAAGGCAGAAGTGTAGGTGAAGTTGTAGCATAGCTGAAATCTTACTTGCTGGTAAAGCTCCTTTCTTTTACATACTTACCGGTAGGTTGTAATCAGCAATAGGAGAAAACACGTCAATAGTGAGCATTCACATTTTTAGATCTAAAGTAATTTATATCCCTATTTTATGCTGTTCAAACACAAATAAAACAACTTGCTACGGCTCAGACTGCTACAGTGCTTCCACTCAGCTGCACAGGTGGTAATGTGTGGTTGCTGGGGCAGGCTGACAGCAGGATTCATGAGTGATGCTCCATGGGACCACCAAAGCTCCTTGGCTTCTCCATTCCCCTTCTACTTCAAGTGAAGGACATCACTCTCCCCAAACCATAATACCACAACTATTAGCAGGTTATTACTCCTCCACAGTGGTTATGTACACCCAATTAGAAGGCATGTGCATTTGCTGGGAACAAAACCAATAGTTTCTTTCATTTCAGGACTGGTTCAAAGTCCTGAACCAGGGTTCTAAAATTACATACGCCTTCCAATAAAAACCAGGTAACCCAAACACCTTATTATGTGTCTTGGATTCTAATAAATGCTTTCCCCAATAGAAAACTACCATAGTAAAAGGCACTGCCTGCCATCCAGTATCACAGAAATCTACATGTTATGAAGAAATAGAGATAATTTTGATGCATCTCACAACTGTGACCCGATTTCTAGACTCTGCCATTTCAAAAACCACTTCACTACACTGAATCAAGTCAGGTTCACCCTTCAGAGAGCCTATTTCTAATTCAGCGAAAAACCCAAGTTCCAGCCATGTTACACCATTGCTGGCAAAAAGCAGTCAGCAACCATTTGGAGCTAATAAAAAAGTTATTTCTAGCTTAACGTACCCTGCAAAGAACCTCAAGAAAACCTAACACTTGAGATATGAGTTTTCCTCTCCTTCTGCTGTCTTTTGTCCAGAAGAGAATCGGGGAATTTCCTTAGAAGATACGTTTCCTATTGGTTAGTACATTACCACTGAAAAGCTTTAAGGTTTAAATCTGCAAGACAAAAAGTATTACTAAAACCTCAACTCCTGCCAAGTTGCAACGATTTTATAATTAGTGTTTTATACATCTCTTTTATTTCTTGGTTGTAGGGAAATTCCCACTTCCCACTTGAAATGACAGTGCACGACACAATCCACTGCTCACAAGCTCATGATTATACATACACTAATACATTTTGGCCAGATGGACTGCTTCTCTCCCTCAACATACACATGTGAGAGATGACACAGAGCTATACCATCAGAGTATTTAATGGAATCACTGCACCAATTTTCCTTCCCCCCTAGCAATCCAAACACAGCCAGCAACTGGTTAAGAATTAGCTACATTTACGTTAGCACCTCAAGAAGCAATGAGGTCATTAAGATTTTTAAGACTCAGATTGACAAATGTCTGAGCAACCTAATCTGAATTCAGTGGTTGACCCAGTTACAGGCAGGGAGGGCTGGACTAGGTGACCTTGAGAAGTCCTTTCCATCCTGGATTTAACTAGTCTCTCTGTAGTCTGGAGAAATCCTGACAGCAAACAACTGTACAGCTACTGAGCTATTTTTCTGGACTGCTGGAATTATACCAACACATGAGTTTAATGCCAAAGTTTTCAAATTACTTAACTGGAAGAAACAGTTACTCCCTACAGGAAGGCTGTACTAAAATGGGCAACTAGGTTTGGTTTACAAGCTGCTGCTTGGCCGCAGTCAGCATATGTACAGTTCTACTTCAAGAATCTTCAGAAACAGACGGGGTAGGCAGAAATAGGGGGAGTTTTACCTAAAAAGTATGGCCACAAAACACAGCAGGGCTTTGGTAACAATACCAAGTAACTCCTTCCTTTCCTCATCCTCGCTTCTCCCACCCTGCACTGCCATCTTCTCATTTGTGCCAATAGTGTGTTTACCAGGGAACAAGGAATTGTGCTTAAGAATTCCCTTAGCAAAGGATGTTAACTTAACCTGACACAGTTTAATGCACAGAGTCCTACCCTGCAGCACCAAAACACTGCATAAGCAAAATGGAGAGTAGAATGTGCTCGTAACTCTGCACATTGGAAGCAGGGCTGGGGAGAGGACAAGGAGTTAAAAAAATTAGTCTCATGTGCAGCATTAGAGTTCCGGTCTCATAGATCATACCACAGATTTGACATGTTGAGGTGCTGCTTCATGCTCTTACCTTAAGTAGCCTTTTTCCAAAAGGAAAAATTCAGAAGGTATTCTACTGACCACCGTAATTTCAACATAAAATGAGTTAGAGAGGGACAGGTTTAGCTAAACAAACTTGGGGAGTAAAGGGTTTTCTTTTCAACAGCAAATGACTTCTTATGAAAGTGCATCTGTTTTTTTGGTTGGTTGGTTAGTTGGCTTGTTTATACGAAGGAAGAAAGTTATTCCTATAACCCAGCCATACTTACATTTACTTCTAGTGATATCATAACTCTACTCTGGACTAATAACCTAAGAGACAAATATACATCTATATCTATATCCATCTCAATTCTTCTAAGACTATAATTACAAATAGGAAAACTCTAAACTGGTATTTAGGGAGGTGATGAGTTTTCCAAGAAATTGGTGGCTTACAAGCAGGTACCTAGCTCACTGAGCAAGTCACTCACATTAGCAAGGCTCAATTCAGTGAATAGCCTATATCCACTTTCTTTCAGGGACTCATCCCACTAAGGACTACACCAATATAGATTTTATCATGCTTCACCACCTGTACATAATTAAAAGGAGCAGACTGGACTGTTTTATAATCTTAGATTGAGTAGGTTAGAAAAAACCAAACAGGTTTTACTGGGTATAGCTGGGTGTGCACACTTTCAAAATTACACTGTATTGTAGTGTAGTTGTTTATAGCCAGGATATCTTTGCCATCAGCTATATTACCACACTTGATTAAAAAAGGCACTAACTTAGAAGAGCATTCCTGACTCACTACAATGCGGTTACAGAACATATTTTCCAGTCACCAGATTTAAATGGTGGCCTACAGACTAAAGACCCCCCCAACCTTTGGTATTAATCAGTCTGAGCTTAATTAGCAACTCAAACAGTAGTCTCTCTTTCAACTATAGTTTCTAGAAAGGGAGGACCTAGAGCTGTACTGAAATTAGGTTGAACAAAGTATGTTACGTCTTGAAATAAGGGCTCACTCCCACTGGGATAGCATACAGTTGCTTATCATAAATGCTTTGTACCCGAGCCCTGTATTTTCTCCTCTTCAGTCCTACATCTTTCAAATAATTCTAGTTCTAATTCTGCAACATTCTGTTATATAATCAAACTATAAATAATATTTAAATACTGTTTCTTTTATTCGTACCACATCCTCCTAAACAAAAGATGAGATTTTACACTAATGAGGTGTCACCTGCCTTTTTTCATCACATGTATTAGCAATTTGCAGTCTATACAGAATAGTATGTAGCACCAAAACCACAGCTCTGTAGCATTCTAGAAGAGCATTTAATATGATATCCTAATTTTAAGAAACTGGTTAAGTGGTAATATTCCAGAGAAAAATTCTCTTACCAGAGCTTGATGACTGAACAGCCCCTTTGTGAGGTGTTTTAACTGCGCCAATAGTTTTATTTTCACATCCTTTCTTCAAGGGCAACACAGATGGCACCGTTTTAACTTTGGGAGTTGATGCACTCCGTAGTGTGAATGGACCTTTCTTCAGTATGCTTTTCCCTGGTGTTGTCCCATCCTTCACAGAAGGCATCTGTTTTTTAAAAAACAAATGAAAGCCTAAAAGCAAAAAAACACAACAAAAAACCCACACACCGCCACTGCGAGAAGTCAAAGATCTCCCTTTCCAGCATCTGTAAGGGAACACTGACAACACAGGTAGGGGATCTGCTTAGCTGTCTGCTGTCACATTGTCCACATCCGTAGTTCAGAACCTCAAGTATCATCTCCTGAGTGGCCTTCAGCAACATCAAACTATTACTTTGAAGCTAATCACTGCTAATGAGAAACACACTCAAGAGGTTACAGAGACTACTTTACATCAGAATTTCTTCCTCCCCACACTCCAATTAAGCCATTCAATTACATGACTGCACCCAATCTCAAGATGAATTCTTTACTATGCAACTATGCAAGTTAATGCACTGACAAGATAGTTGTCCCGTACTACCTGAAATGTCACAGCCTGTACAATAGGTTTCTTAGTCTAGGTCTTACATTACAACACAAAAACAGGTTAAAAACTTTCACGCTCGGGTGCCACAGATAGAACAAATTCAGGAACAGACCCAGGGCAGGCTTAAAATAACCTGTTTACACGTAGTACTCCTCTACCATTCCTTCAGAATTCTTGTTCCATTTTATATAGGCACTAATTAATGACCACTCATGCTCTAAAGTTAAGCCTATATTGGTAAACTTAAAAAATGTACAGTTGTTCATATGCTTTTTTTATGACTCACGCTGATATGCAGCAATTTAGTTACATGAATGCACTTTCAACTTCTGACTCCATTCCTTGTCATCTTTTTCAGAAGTTCCTCTGTACTTTCAGAAGAGCATTTATTAAGTTCAGTCCAGTTGACTGGTCCACTGCACATTTTATAGAATTTGGTCTGTTGATATTTTCCAGGTACCAGAAGTACAATGAATAGCACAAAGGTTTCTTAGCAATGCAGCAAATTAAGAGCATTGTTTCTAACCCTCAGCACCAAAAGGAAGGAGTGAAGCAGAATCCAAGCTCTGAAATACTTTAGCGTTAAAACAGACCATCTTTGCTTTCAAGTTCATTTATGTTTTCAGGTTAATTTAATACATAATATTACTAATTTCTTCTGTAATGTTTCAAAAAAAACGGATAGCTGCTTCTGCTTTACCTGAAGTACCTTCCTCCATACAATGAGCTTTACTAAAGTTTTTCTTGCAGATCAATAAAGCCTGACAAAAACTCAGACAACACCTGTTTTACCAGTAACAGCTAATGCCTCCATTTTGCTCTTAATAAAAGCTGTTGAAACGACAAGCAAACAACAGGAGGCACTCCATACAGCAGCAGGACTCCAACTCTGTGTCCCTACTTCCCGAGATCTCAGTCGGCGAAATCCCAAAGCTCTTTGCTTCTTTCCCACAGTTCCTTTTCTTTTAAGCTTCTTTCAGAGTATTTGGAAGCAGCACGTTTCTTCTGACAGGCAGCTGACTCATCCCAAAATATTTCCCAACCAACCAGCACACGCATACCTCCCGGCCAGGAAGTTTGCACCTTCCAGCTGGCTGACTGCCCACAACCAGGTATATGCCCTCTGCATGAGAAATATTTCCTGGCTACTCTTAACTATTCAAATGAGTCCCAGTTCTCCTTTAAATAAACAACCTCCCAAATTATTCAAAGCAGACAGCTAAATTAAGATGTTAAAAATAAAATGCTTGACCAAGTTGCTGGTCTTCAGGTTTTATGTGACTTAGTATTATTGTTACTATACACACAACATTTCTGTAAGCAAATTTAAGAAGTGTAATTTATTTCTAAAGCATGTTTTGAAATGGAATACTGAAAATGGAAATTTAACATCTATTTAAAGTTACAGCACCACTAGAATTACCTTGATGAATGTGCATATTAAAAGGCATATTTCAGAAAATTTCACCAAGTTCTGCTATGCAATTTTACCAAAAAATTTTACCAGTTTGACAAAATTAAGACTTGTTTGTTTTTTTATTATAAATCTTAACAATTTCATTGTCTTAAAAAGAATTTATCAAAAAAATTGTTTATACCATGGAATAAGACACTAAGTTGCACTTGAGTGCAACCAGTTTGTAAACCTGCAACTTCTTCATTTCCTTTATTAGGGAAAGCCTTCACCTCAGAAATCAACACTACAGCTACGACTGAGGACACAAAACCCATTCCCCGATTTCCATTCAGCACTGTGCAATGCAGAATTCCCTTTTATCAAGTGTGCAAAACGTAATTATGTAAAGAAAAAAGCTTACCAAAGGAACAGAGTGCAGGTCAAACGTTTCATTGGCCACATCTTTTAACAAAGCTTCTTCCAGAAAGATTCCCATGTTGCTGCTTTGCTCACTTTCACCTCCAGCCAGGAAGGTATTCTGAGCACAGGGCTCCACTAAAGAGTCTGAACTTTCCATTTTATCATTCAGCATTTCTTTTGAGTTCTCTACACATGCTGGAAGCACAGCAGAAGCAGAGGAGCATGCCGAATGGGTAGAGTTTGCTTTGCCAGTGTCTTCCGGATTCTGTTTTAACAGAGGTGTCTTTGAAGCTTTGTGGGAAACATTTCTGGGATGTGTTGTGGCATGTACATCTTGGCTAGTGAAGAGGTGTTTGTTAAGATGTAGCTTGTGGGGCTTATTCACAGGCAATTCCACTGCACTATCTTTAGCAAGATCTATTTTCTTCTTCAGCACTTTTATAGAGGGGGACAATCGCCTTGGGGAAGCAACCAGTGAGGGCGAGGAGCCAGCTGATGGCTGGGGCGACTGGGGAGACTGTTTAAAGGCTGCACTGTCTCTTGACTGTAGAGAAGGTCTAGACATAACCTTTGGCTTAACGTTTTTGAAATTAGGTCTAGGAAAACTAACAATCTCTGATTTCTTTGCTTTGGTTAGTGTTGACACAATAGGAGACCTGCCCACCGTTTTTCCTGCACTTTGACCTGAACTAGCCTTACGTAAAGGCTGTCTATTATGCCCTCCTGCAAATGCCTCATTTGGTCTCAATTTGGGAGACTCGTCTCTGGGTTCCACCAAGGCTGGAACACAGAAAGTTGTATTTTTTGATAGCTCTTTAGGGGTTGAAGTACACAGAGCTGGATCACTTTCATCAGCCATAGGACTGAAGACCACAAAAGTTGCTTCACATTTCAGATCAGGTGTAACAGCCCTATTCAATTTTGGTACACTGTAAGATACAGAAGAGGTGTTGCATGTATCCCGAAGAGCAGCATTTCCAGAGATATGCTGTTCTCTGGTTGAGAGTTCATTGGTTTTCTTTGATAATTGCTCTTCATCCGTTTTATTTAGTGGGAGAAGGTGCACACTACTTACAGGACCATCCATGCACGTTTTAGCACTGGAATTCCCAGTTTCACCATGATCAGGCGTATCCTGTGAGAATTTGATTTTGTCATGTTCATTAAAATTAACACATGGTGATAATGCATCTTGCCTATAAGGATCTCTACATCCAGCAGCTAGTTTTACAGACTCTGTTTCTGTTTCCTGTGATTCGTTATCAGGCTTATCAGTGTTATTTAGGTAGTGCTTAACACCTGCAGGGGAAGGACAATAGACTTCAGGTTCTGAACAGGCATCTGGGCTTTCTGGAGCCACTACTGCAGAGGAGAAATTAGGTGTTCTTTCCGAGCTGGTTCTATCAGACCGCTCTCTCGTACATACTTCAGAAGAGATTAGTGTTTCTCTTGGATCCATGTCATCATTTTGGTCAGTTCCCAGAGTTTCACCTACAATATTAGTAACATCCAACATGGTCAGGTGGCAACATGTCCTGTCATTTACCAGGGACTGTGTGTTCTGTTCTGAAGCAGGAGGTAATACACACTCAGAGTCAGTCTGACTGTAAGGCACCGATTGTTTGATGCTCTGACTTTGCATTTTTGCCACAGCAACATTACCTTTCAGTAAGTTTGTTGCTTCTTCCAAGTCACGGTTCAAAGGATACTCACAAATCTGTTCAGTCATGGAAGACTTGCATGCAGCATCTGCATCTCCCAACAGAGCTCCTGTGCAGGTGTATTTACCAGGTGTCCTCTGCAGATGAAGTGCTTCAATACCCTGCTGTTTTAGAAGAGTACTTCTGAAGTCACTGTTATTTTCAAGAATGGTGGTATCATCTTCCTGCTCAGTCACTGTATTTTGGTCAGTCGAATTACTGTCTGTCTCTGCGGTACAATTCTTTAAAGAAGGTGTAGCTCTGTGACATGCGTAGTTATTTCCATTTTCATCCCTTATAAGTAAGGAAGACTTCAAGCCATTCTCTGCTTTGTCATCTGACTTTTCAACATTCATTTTGAAGGCTAAGCTTTAAACTGTTTTCATTTTATACTTATTTAAAATCCCAGAGAATGCAGATTCTTCTGAACTTCACAGTAAAAAAAAAAAAAAACAACCCCAAAAAAACAGCTTTTCTCTGGAATGTGTCAAGTGTCCTGAAAGATATTGAAAAAGTAGATCTTTGTTTTCATGTTTCCCAAGAAGATTCAGAAATTCTGGAATTAAAAAGAATAAATAAATACAATAAAATTAAAAACTATTAGCCAAACCAGGATTTTAAGATAGTAAACATTCTTAAACTACTAGGCCTTGAATCAAGTGCAGCCATTCTGACCAACTTTCTTAAGCAGATTAGGCTTTTACAACAATGTTGTCTGTGCATGCTAACTTTCACAAGCAATTTCTGCTTCCTGACTGCCAAGCAACTTTTGAACCCTCTGGTCAATTGCAATTAAGTGTCACTTTAGGGTTGCTCATTGACAGCAGTCAGGTTCCCAGTCAAAGAACAGAGCTGAATCCATCACTCCAGATGGGTGGTGGCGTTCAACACTTGTGCAAACAAATAAAGCCAGAAGAATGAGGACACTTGCCATCAAAAACAATGAGCAAACAAGTCACTGTTTTTTAACTAGAATGCAGACACCAGAGTGTGATGTCCTTAAATGAGCATAATGATATAATGACATTTGAAATTTGGAGGGAAAAAACGTAGCAGGACATGAACATCAGGGTTAAGTACACAGGGTAGACAGAATAATGCACACTAACACGCATGCTAAAATCTGAAAGGATTTGACTGTAACCACAAGGAGTATCAGAGTCCCTAAAGACTAAAAATCCAGAGCTGGCAAAACCAGAATACCTGATCTGCACTATCAACCTTCTCAACCACAGTGACAAAAGTGGTTGCAACACCCTGAGACAGGTCAAGGAAGCTACAAGATCAAAGGGGAAAAAAAACCTCAAACTACAAACAATTTCTGCTATCTTGATGTTTGTTAGATGCACTGAAGAGTAGTTCCCTGATCGTATTTTTGTACAGGAATCAGTGCCTGCTTTGGGAAGAACTTTAGAGAAGTAACTCTTGATTTGTTGTCTAACAAAGCAATTCAAATCCTCACAGAAACCACATAAACCATTTTGGAAGCCACAGCAGGGGAAAGAAAACAAACTCTTATCAGCAAATACTCTGGAAAGTGAAAAATAAACCCGGCACACTAAAAGGTGAAAGGTAAGTTACTAAAAAGAAGAATGCAACCTTCAAAAAGCTGACATTTTCCTTTATTTTCTTCAGCTGGATTCACAGCATTCAAAATAAATCCTGTCTCATATCAGTTAAAAGTATAAAGCCTTCCAGAGGGGCTGCAGGGCCTGCAAACAGTACAAAAGCCGCACACAAATTAAGACAGTTCTAGAACTGCAGGAATTTGCATGCTAATGATGGGCCAAACACAGAGTGGGCTCTGGCCCACAACCATGTGTTCACATGGGACTCCAAACATCTGCCTCAGACTGAGGATAAAATGATCATGGAACAAGGAATCAAAAACTACCAAAATCAGACAGCAACCTCCTCTTTCCCCAGGATCAAACAGCTTTACTACCTTAAATCTCCTTGTTCCTTAAGACTGGTCTAGATCCTTTTCCTACCCACTATTATTTAGTCTCTAGAGAAGCACAAACAATTTCAGTACCCTCAAATATGAGGGCACTTCCATTAGGAAACTTAAGGCAGACTCAACAGCTCTTCCAGAAAAGTCTTCCCTAAAGGCAGGGCAAGAACCTGGCCTAAATAATTTTCCATTGATTTAAGTCAATCACAGAATCACAATTGCTGAAAGATATTTGCAGACTTTGCTTTCACTGTTGTTTTGACACATTCAAACCGGTTTCTACTTGTCCAGGGACTAGCCCGTAACACAGCTTGCTCACCTAGGCATGCAACAAAATGTTAAAGACTGCATTTTGATTCAGCATTAGCTTAGATCCAACTAGCAGTCTTACCTCTTTCAAGAGCTTTCTCACTAAAGTAAACAGGGAACTTCAATATGTCAAGACTGAGCGAGACTGAGATCCCAAGAATTTAAAGAATGACATGTTAGCTCACAGCATTCGTAGCTGATAATGCCAAGGTTTTCAACAAAACCAACAAAAACAGCTAAATAAACCTTGATTCAGTCAACACTGAAAAAATTCCAACAAAAATAGAAGTCATTTTGAGACTGAGTAGAGAAACACAGAATGCGTTTACAGGTGTATATATAGATGTACACATTTGTATATGCAAGTCTGCTCACACAGTGCTCTGGACTGACGTATAACTAGAGAACATACAGTAATAACTCAGTTACTTTTAAGCAAGTTTTCACTTTAGTAATCAATACTTTCATGAGCAACTAAACCAGCTAAAAATATGGCTTCACATCCACATTTAGAGTCCTGCATAAAAAGTGAGGCATTCTAAGGATTAACTCTAGCATATAAAAATCTGGAACCTAGATGAACATTAGTCCTCAAAAAATTACATTCTGTATCTCTGCAGGTACTACTATGCTCATCAAGCTTATGAGAACACTTCCTGGTGGTGAGAAATTCTTTAGAGTTAAGATCTGCCATAGGAGGCTGAATGAAGAGCTAACCTCAGCCAGCACCTCCTCCCTAGGAGAGGCCAGTAGCAGATGCACAAAACTGTTGCCCTTCTCAAGAACACCCCTTCCCAATACACTCTTCCTGGCACATAATGACTTGCAATCCTCTAAACTAAATGCTACTAATAAACTCAAAGAGTTTGTCTTAACATCAACAAGCATTATGCATGCCTGGACTCCACAACACCCTGTAGTCCAACACGAGAGTTCACCTATTTTGTGCCTTCAGTAAAGCTCAACTTGCCAAATTTCAGTTGCATGTTTCAAGGGCTTACACATTGCAAAAAAAGTCTTCATTACCAGAGCTCTAAGCTTTCCTATTCCTCCACAGATATGAGAGCTTGGGGTAACAGAAAATATCATGGGGAAAAAAAAAAAAGACAGGAGCTTAGCAAGCAGATTCTCCTAAAAGGAGAAGAGATCAGCTGCCAGCAGCCTCAGATCCAGGAGAAATATACCGCAACATGCGGAGCTGGACTCACAGCAAGATCTTGTCACTTACACTAACCTACAAGGGGCACCCAGAGATGTGCTGTAAAAGGGCAGGACAGTGATTCATTCAGTACTGGGTAAACAGGAATCAAACCCATATCAATTACAATCAGTAATCCAAACTACAAGTTTACAAGTTACAACAAGAATGCAAGTCAGTTTGTGTTAATGACACAATGTAGACAGTGATAATTTACGCTTTTCCTGGTACCCCACTCAGTTCTTTCACCTACACCACCAGGTGCCATTTACTCAAACCCATCGGCTATGTTTGTGCAGCCTGTATAAAGGAGGGTGGGTAGGGAATAAATCTGAAAGGAGAGGGTGTGCCCAGACATGCAGGCAGGCAGTCTAAAAGAGCTCTAACCAACTGAACACACTTTGATACCAGACAAAATGCATTATCAGCACCCGTATTTCAGCAGAAAACAGTACTGCATAGTCAGGATTAGCAGTCACTGAAGTCAGAAATCATTTAAGGCATTTCATATGTCTAACAATGTTCATTACACTACAACCAGTTTACCTGACCATATTCTAGAACATGACACAATCACACAAGTCTGACCTTTTCAGCACATACACCTGAAGGCAGAGATAGCAGCATCCAGGAAAGAGGGAGTCTGCCATGACCAGGCATCCCTCCCAGCATGCTCTGTCCAGTGTTGCTCACACATGGTTCCATCAGGAAGGACTGGGAAAACATGTGATTTCAGGCGACACTGCATTGCACAGGATCACAGTTCCAGAGCTCACTGTACAGCCTCAGTAATGATACATCCTGATGGGAACTAGCCTGTTGCCAAGCATAATTCAAGCTATTAGAAGAGAGGACAAGTTAAGCTGCTAAAATAAACATCACCCAGACATTTGCAACATGACAAGTACAACATACTCCTTGAAGCACTCATATGCTGATGGCATTGCTTGCTTAAGAACACACAGCATCATCAGTGCTAGCACTGTGAAGGTGCTCTGTTTATAACAAAAACCCCAGCACCACAGGGTAGCTAGGTGATATCTGTGTGCTCTACTCAAAGCACATTTTAAAAACCAGGATCAATGTGAGACACTTCCTATGGTAAGCAGATATTATATGCAAGTTACATCTGCAAGCAATCATGCAGGCACATTTGACTGAAGGAGCAGTACCACTTTCACTGGCATGGACCATAAGGTCTTGCCTCCTACTTGGCTATTTGTCAGCCTGCTTCAAGACTTAAGCACCAGCATAACATATAAGTGATAGTAACCAAGGAGTATGAAATTTTAAAGCTTGGCACTAAGGTACAGAAGAAGTAGAAAGGCTGTTGAGCATACAGCTGCAGATATCGGACATCCTAAAGTTAGACAAGAGGTGCTGACTCCACACAAGAAGTTCAAACCATGACACAATACTATCAGACTACCCCAAAGCACATGACTGCTGATGCTAACAGGTGCATCTGCTCTAGTAGTTTGCTCCTACTAGTGACCAAATGGTTGTTTAGAGAGAGTGATGCTAGCACTTTCCCCAGACTCCAGTCATTGTAGTCCTCAAGAGCATCAGTTCAGTGGAAAGCTTCAGCTGCTTTTGGAACTTTCTTTTCCTTGCCCATAGTCATTACTTTCCCAAGATGAAGATTCCTTACCTTTTTTATCGTTCATAAACTCTAGCCATTCTTGTTAGCCCGTCTTTAAGTATGTTAGGCTGTTGTCTCCATCTCCAAGCTCAGACTATTATTTATAAGCACATAATACACTCAGATATTCCAATGGATTCATACAGTGTCTTGGTAACACAGTTTTTCTTCCTTTAATAACTGCCTACTTCAGATTTTTACTGTAAGCTAAGTTCCAGCAGAACTCTGTATTCAGAAATGGAAGACTGGTCCAGGGACTTTTCTTACAAGTTAGTTAAATCCATCTTTTACTTGGATAATAAAGATACTTGAAAACAGTGGCTAGAAATGGCATCTAATATTTCTGGGATGTTGAGGTGCAACACCCTGAACCAGGAAGATCTGCAAAGGCACATGCCTTTCCTCTACTCTTACAGCAACTGACAAGATG